AACAGTAATACTAAGAATGTGACCTTTGTTTCCATCTGTGTGTGGCGCTACTTGCGAATGCAGTTTTGAGTTTTTGTTTGCCCCATCTGGTTACGTGTGGAATACAGAACCAAGGATTTTACACATAACTGATGAGCTGTGATACACACAATGAGGCTGCTTTCATCTAAGTCTGTAGTATGTATGTACGTATGTATGTATGTATTTTTTTGCAGGACTGGGGATTGAACTCAGGCCCTTACGCTTGCCAGGCAAGCACTTGTTCTACTAAGCTATCTCCCCGGCCCCCAAGTCTGTAGTATTTATAAAAATGGCAATTTAAAGTCAGTTGCAAGTCATTTGTTCATTATACTTGAAATGGCTGTTGGATTCATGCATGGAACAAAAATGTTCAAGGATCCTTAAAACAAAGCAAAACAAAACACAACTCTTGTTGATTTGCTAAGAGTCAAAGGTCATTTTCTTTCTATTCCACTGTAGTCTGATTCTGTGCTCGACTTGGGGGAAATACTTAGTTTTCTATTAAGTCTGATGTCAGATTCACTTTTGTCTTTCTAGTTCAAAGGCTAGCCAGGCCCTCCACATGGGCAGCATTCTTCTTCAGTGACTGGATCTGAGCACGGGTGTGCACTTGGGTAGGGTTCCTCTGCTCTGTGCCGGTGGCCAGGTGACCATCTGGCGGAGCCCTGCTGCCCCTCACTCCAGGCGTCTTCACTGTTGTTGTCTACAAGGGCTGGATGCTGACAGTACAGTTAATACAGGAATATCCCTCCTCTCTGTTGATATTAACTGTGTGGCTTTCTTCAGCGGATCAGAAGTATAATCCATTCATGGTTCTCTTAAAAATGTAATCCAGTAGGAAGGACCGTGCCAGGGTTTTGGCCTGAGTACACGCCAGAAGACTGAACATGGCTGATTCAGCAAAGTGGAACCGTGGGCTTGTTCCAAGGAAACTTTCCCTTGGACGATTCAAGGAAGCACACTTAGAGAGGGGAAGAAGTCTGCCTGGACTCCGCGTTACTCTCGTGATGACTGGAGCCTCGTGACCCGTGGACCTGAGGGACGGACACAGTTTGCTTACTCTCGGGACAGCCCCTGTGGGGTCGTCGTGCCATGGGGAGTGCTTCCTAAGGGCAGCGCCAGCATTGCGTGGGTGTTTGCTGTTCATGGAAACTCAGTGTTTTCTTTGAGTCTGGGTGATTTATAAGGACCTGACGGGCTTCCTCACTTGGAAAACAGGGTATTAGAACAGGTTTTTAAATGAATTGTGCCTTTTTGCCACAACTCCTAGTCAGATGTTTTCACAATACCTGTGTCATTATTCTGCATGAGGTGTTTATTCTCATGGAGTTTAAGTACAAGTGTACTCTTAAAAGGTGCTAATTCTTTTTAAAAAGTTAATTGCGACAGGGAAGATACATTATAAATGTTTCAAATGATCAGGGTCTGGCTCTTGTATACACATTATTTGAGGAGTTTCTAATTGCACTGTTTGCCTGTAAATCTGCGTGTAAGTGTGAGGCTTTCAGAAAATCATCCTAACATATGCTTATCTGTAAGTACTGGTACCTTCATTTTTATTTGGAGTTGGTACAGCAGCTTTTCTATTCTATTCTTGTGGCCCTGAAATTGTTTGCAAGGTTGGTCACTAACTGGGTTGACAGCAGAAATAAAGATCATGTTATTGCTTGAGGAAAATATGTTCTGTAATTCTTGCATATTTATACCAAACTGCAAAGGTGCCTCATTATGGAGCAATTTAAAAGGTAACATGCCGCCTTCACATGACCTGTTAGCTGCCCAATTGCATGCTACACATGATAGCATGCGTAGTTTATGCCAGTTTACTGAACAGGATGTTATTTCTTGTCTTTGCATCATATGCCTATTTACTACCATGGGTCAATTGGCAGTACACTTACCCCATTCCAAATGTACTCACCATAGTTTTTTTTTTTATTGATAAAAGAAGGCACGTTGCTTGGTATGTGGCCTCTGTGATATTTAGGTGACTCTGTACCCTTGAAGCTGCCTTGATTAGTAATCAAGTTAAATTATACTTGCTGATAAAAACGTTCCCTGAGCACCAGTCCATCAGTGATTGGTTTCATAAATGTGCCCTGCTATTATATGCAGAGTGAAATGCGTGAGTTCATGGCCCTTTGTTTCTAGTCCTTGTTCTTGACTGTGCAGGCAAGAAGCAGAGCACTTACTAGATGGTCAGTCTTCTCAGCGTTAGCTAGTGATTGCAGATCTTTTAATGGCATGTGTGCAGTGATCCCTCGAGGAGAACGCTGTTGCAGGTGATCTCCTCCTTTCTGTTGGCCACTGATCCTGGCCAGGGCTCCTTACCACTGACACCTTGTTGACTGACACACTCAGCTCTTCATAGAATAGACAGCAAACTCGCAAGATGCCCAGCAAACTTCTGCCGGTTGCTGAAGCTCTTTCGGAGGTAGCAGGGTTTGCTGGACCTTGGTTCCCTCCTCTTCTTTACTCGGGTGACCTTGGGTGGAATGAGTCTCTGAGACGGAAGGAGCAGAAGCAGAGGCCCTAGACATATGCCTTTTGGAGCCGAGTCACACACTTGTGGTGTGACCGTGAGCACTGTGTAAAGTAATGAATGTCCATGATTATATCTGGGTGTTCATAGGAGAGGAGCTTTGAGGGGTACCAGCAGGCGGCCCACAGCTGATTATAGAATGTAGATGGAGCACTCCCCCTACCTACCCTGGGGTGGCGCCCTGGGCCTGCTCTCCATTTCTGCACCCAGCACTTGCCTTGTCTCCTTTCTCCTGAGGTGCATGTGAGGGTTGTAGGAGCCTTGTGTTCCAGTGTGCAGTGCCCCTTCCTTGGAATTGGAGTCTAGTGTTGTACACTTGAGGTGGGGGACCGGAGGGGGACACTTCCTTCCTTAGGAAGTTCAGGTGACACAGCTGTTTCTCTCAGGGTACTGGAGCCAGGCTAGGCTGGTCTCAGCAGGTGAGCCAGGGCTCAGCCAAGATATGAGGTACTTGTCTCCCCTGTGGGGTGGGGAGAGGGAAGAAAGCAGAAACTTGAGGGTCCCCATAGGGTTGGAAACTGGCTTGCTTTCGCTTCTAGAGAGAAGCTGCCTGCTCTGGACTGTGGTGGGATTTGCATAGCAACCGTGGATGAGTCTAGTTGTCACCTTTGAGGCTCTTTAAAAATTAGACTTCCGTTAAGTATGCCATGCTGTGAGGGTCATCTCAGTGGCTGGGCTCATGCCAGAGCTCAGGGAAGAGCAGGCTCGGTAGCCCTGCCCTTCTGCAAACTGTGGGCAATGCCAGGGCCACACAACAGTTGGACTTGCCCAGGACCCAGCGTATTATTTTCTTATTTTTAATTTCCCCAGATACTGAGGGCATGAAGTAAGTTTGATGGCCACACAGAACATTACCTTTGCTTTTTTATTTAAAAATTAATAAAGAACTTAACGACAAGTATAATAATTTAATCTCTATACGTAATGCCATTTGTACATCTACATGTAAGGGGACACCGTATGTTCCACCTTGGTTTTGTATCAAAGTCTTTACTTAAATCTTTCCAAGAGAAGGATCACCATCTTTCAGTGACACATTGCAATTAAACCATGAAGGGATTTTGAAAGCATCATTTTCTATTCAGGGTATCACTATATTTAGGGTTGAATTTATTTATCTTCAGTTTCTTTTCTTATTCTGGAGCTATAAATCTTTTTACTTTTTGGTCTAGACTGATTTGAAATGGTGACACTGTCTTGTGATGGCTTCTCCCTTGCACGGGTGGATAGTGCTAGATAGAAAGCTGCTGACACCCTTATTCAATGCAGTAAGATGGTTGGGAGTTTTAAAACATAGGAGAGATAACTTGTTGAAAACATTTTTATAACTTCAGTTAAAAACAGTATAAAAACATGAAACACGTTTTTAGATTTTTCAGTTTTCCATCCACATGAAACAGTGGCACTTCCTACATGGTTCCTACTTGTTTGCTCTTCTCGCGCAAAAATACTTCTCAGTTCTGTTTACTGCTATCTGGGGCTTTGAATCCTTACGTAGTATTTCCCAAAATGAGTGTGTGTTTATGTGTTTTCAGTTAGACATATCTCTGCAGAATCCTGCAGATTGCTTGAGTAACCTCCAAAGAACGCGTGGACAGCATTCATCTAATGTTTGTCAATCTTAATCTCGTTGATCACTAGGTTCCTACAGAACCTAAACACTTAGTGCTGACCTGAAACTGCTGTTGACTCAAAATGCAAATGGATTACAGAGGAAGCTCTAATCTGAGAAAAGCATGTTCAGATCCTTTTATCAAGGGGAGTCACTTTTTCATGTTTGGCATTTGATCAGTGAGGTGTGCCTTTCTGTACTCAGGTGCCGAACTGCTGGACAGAAACTTGAAGGCTAGGCTTTCTGGTATGTTCACAAACTATTCAAAAGTTAAGTTGTACAAAACAAGGCAAAATAAAATCCCTACTTGCTGTTGTGAAAAGCAACAAATTGATAGACAAAGTCAGTAATAGACTAGGGGATTCGATTTCTATAAAAAGATACTTGCAAAGGTGCAAAGAAATGAGTGAAAAAATAAAGGAACTAAGATTTACATAGCAATGTGTAATCAAGAGAGAATTCCAAGTGTTACTGTGGATTTAAAAAATACCTAAAAACGTTTGATTCACAGCTTTCTCCTAAGTATGTCATTTAGTACAATTTACTAGTAGGTTAAATGTAAATGACATTAAGTTTGTCCGTTGTTGGCAGCAGCTAAACAAAACACAGTTTCCCTTTGAGATGGTCAGATCTTGCACACTTGTTACAAAGCATAACGAATTATATAAAACATTTGGCTGCGCTTACAGGGTAAACGATGTCAAGGATTGATCCGCAAAAACAACTTTCTGCCATGGTTCAGGAGCCTGTGATTTATTGATGACTGAATTATCCATTGTTTATCTCTATGTGTGTTTTCAGATTCTTGCCGGAATTTAGCATTTGGCCTTTGGGTACCAAAAGATTAAAAACGAGATCTAAGAAAGCTTAATGTCCAGTAGCTCTGACCCTGTCAACTTGCAATGATTAAAGGCATGTTTCGACTTTGGGGGACTCCTGGCTGGTGGCTATTTGGAAAATGAAGAGTAAACATGTTGTAGTCTGGAGATGAAGAGGATGCTAAATTTGAGGTGTCAACGTGACACTGAGACGTGGTCACTTGGTTTAGCGCTACAGCACATGAAGGCAAATATACATAGAGTCACATTTTAGAGATTATTCATGGTCTCCGACCACTTGAAAAAATTGTGCTTTCTCCGGAATTTGATGTGCTGAAAATTGCACTCGCCCCCTGCTTATTTGCAAAATGAAACATAAAAATGAAGTCCTTTGCAAACATAAGGCTTGCTTTTTCTTCTTATTATTTTAAGAAAAAATAAAGGCTTGGAAATAATTACGAGTTTTAGCTGTGTACAGAGTGACAGCCTGACGTTTTGCAGGTTGGAAACATAATACTTGTAGATCGGGGAGGGAAGGGGAGCGCATTTTACTTATCCTCTTTGACTATGTGAGTTTCATTTTAGATTTCTACATCCCACATCAGTGAACTGCAAAGAGCAGCAGGCAAGGCGTCGCGTTGACCACCTTGCTGTGTGAATGGTCTGTTGGTACAAAAGGCCTTTTTGGTACTCAGGGTGAGAAGCAGGGAGTGCGTGTATCGGCACCGCAGTTCTCTCCATCCTGTTCCTCTTTGGAGCAGGATTAACTTAACTCCAGTAGGTTTTAAAGACAGCCTTGAGACTCCACACATCAAGAGTTTTAAAGGAACCAGAGTTTCCATCTTCCGTGCTTTTTGGACTCCGTTTTGGATTTTTGCTTGGGCGTTGAGGAGGAAGTCTCCTGAGTGTAAGGCGAAGGTGCGACCTGAGTTTCCTCAATAGGATGCAGTTTCTTCAGTACGGGCTGGAGTTTGTCTTCTTGCTGCTTAAAATCCAGCTCCACACTAGAGAGACAAATGAAGAATTTAGTGTTTGATCTTTCCAGTATCAAAAGTCCCCTCAGGGACAGCAAAATTCCGTAATATCATCCCAGAGTAATGATCATTCATATTTTGTTTATAATGTAATTTTATAGTTTAACATTATGCAATTGGCTATATTATATTTAGGCTCTAGACCGCTGTGAAATGTTTCAAACAGGCTCATTTTCTTTGGAAAATAACTGATTTACTTTCCTGGGTGAAACTTTTCAAGTTTGGTTAATGTACACAGTTGGTGTCCAAGGATGTACTGAATCAGTGTAAATGAAAAGTTGGAAATGCAAAGAACTTCAGTGTTTATAGACTGTCCACATGTGCTTCGTGGAATACAATAGATAACCCCAACAGATATGGGTAGAAGTGACCTTCATACATACCTACCAGGAAAACGTAAGCTCTGGTTGCTCTGGTTCTGTCCAGACCATCACAGGACAGACACATCTGTTTATCTCATTGTGAAATGAAATGGCTCTGTCTTACCTTGTCCTTGCAAAATCTTATTCCTCAGGACTGCTCCTAAGAGCCATCGCACCAAGCCTATGCTGAGGAGAATACTATGTTTATTCAGTCAACACTCCTGAATGTTACTGAGTTGTTATCAAATGCTTTTTCATAAAGTAGCACGGATAGTCTATTTGGTAAAAGCTTTACAAAACTGTAATTACATCACTGGAGCCATAGTGTGCAGACATGTCGCCAGGTGGAAGGACTTCTGCCAGTGGTAGTGTTTGCGTTAGAAAGATGACTTAAAGGTGATTTAAAGCATATAGGCATTGATTCCTTGGGAATTTCTCAGAGGAGTACTGTCAGCTTGTGTGCAATTCTCTCTTCTTTTCTTGCCAAGCCCTTGGAAAGAGCATTCTCGGTCTACTTTCTCCTACTCCTTATGGCCCCACTTGGCAGAAGGTAGGACCCCTTCTCCCAGGTGTCATTTTTCTGTGTGACCCCAGCATTGGGGATCTTTTTCTCCCTTCTTACTTAGTCCCACCCTTCGGTGGACTCCTGTGGTTTGGGCCAGGATGTTCCATCGTAGCATGCTTGGGAGAATTCTGCTGTCTGCTCTTCCTTGTCTGTTCTGGATGCCAGACTAAATGTCAGTAGATTTCAGTGAGGTCTCAGTGATGATGACAATGCACGAGCTCTTAACATTTTATAACCGTTGGAATCATAAACCATTTATAAACATGAAATCCTTTTGATTTAGAGAACCATTAATCCTAGCCAAATTTTGACATTTTGGAAAGACAAAACAGCAAAGCTGTATTATCTGGAGTTTTAAAAATAAGTTCAAGCCCCATCTAATAGTCCATTTTATGTTTTAAATCCAGTGCTTTATTTTTCGTATTGTCAAGGATCATAACATTACTCAAAAATTAAAATAAAAAATTGTTAGCATAGTTTATGGCCAGGTACTCTGTGTGCCCAGAGCAAGACCTTTTCCCTGTTTCATAGTATGTGTTTTGATGGGCCGGTTCACAGAAATAGAATAAAAGCTCATGAACTCTAGTACTGCTAAGCAAAACTATGTGATGGTGGGGGCAGGGCTCCTCTGACAGATGGCTTCCGAGAGCAGGCCTTAGTGTGTCCTTCCTTTCTGAAATGCCCCCATCAGCTGTCTGAGGTGGTGCCACCAGAAGAGCATGGGATTTCTACCCTAGCATGGGAGGTAGGAGTAAGCCCCTTATGTTCTCTGAGCTCTTCCATCTGAAAGAAAAGTAGCAATTCTTGTCTTATGGAATCATGATAAGGTCCCTACTCAAAAAGAAATGTTCATGAAAGAGATTGCTAAACTGCCTGATGCAATTCAGCTGTCTTTTATTTTTTACCTATCTGTTGATGACTAATTTTCTAAGGGGAACAAGAGCAAACTCATAAAGATACCTGTTCTCCTACTTGGATAGTGAAGCAAGAAAGTAGAAACACTTAGGTTGAGTCTGTGAGTTGCAGCGTGTTGAGTACCGAACTCTTACCAAGGTGCTTGGTGAATACTGAATATGTGTCCTCCGGGTCACAGCTCTGTCACTGTCCCACGTAGGTGCTGAGTTATGTTGATGGAGAGCGAGTGCTCAGATTTCCTAGGCTAACAGTACCATTCTGGGTACGTGCCATTATTGAATTCCTATTAAGCAGCCACATTGGGAATCCTGTTATTAACCAATTTATCACATCACAGGACCATGTAATCACAGAGTAATCTAATAGGAGTTGTTGTTAACAAAATGACTCAACTTGATCTGTCAAGTGAGTTCCTGTTTGCACTCCCTCAGTCCCCTTCTCAGGGAAGCTGTGGCTGGGGTGGTTTGCATGGAAGATGACCAGAGCCCCATGGGCGCACCCTGGGAACACCTGCAGGGGCCTTCAGTGGGGGGACAGTGGGCCACGCTCTTCCTCCCCATCTGCAGCATTCAGATTGCAGCCGCTGCAGGCTGATATCTGCTTCTGCCAGGCCTGCTGCAGAGGGCTGTGCACTGGCCAGTAAAGAGGAGCAGTGTGCAGAACTGTAGAGTGCTGTGTGATTGACTCGGGAGGACGCATACCAGATCGCTGAGGGTCTGAAGCAGACAGCTGCTGGACAGGCCAGGGTAAGAGTCTGGCCAGCTCTGACTGCCATAGAACTAAAGTCCTGATGATCTTATGACCAAATGGCCAGGAGAAAGCGATACCTGCTGTCCTTGTGAAAAGAGAGGACCTGGATGTTCCTGAGCACTTGACTCTTGTGTGCGTAACACTTCCTCCCTGTTGGCCATCAAATTGTCCAGAAAGGGCCTGGAGCCACCTACTGGAGCACCCGTGGCCCACTCTGTGGTCTCTTACCTTGACATCAGAGAGACCAGCCCTTGCCTGCTGCCTGAACACGTGGGTAGGAGCAGTGCTGTGCCAAGATTTTCTCCTTGTCTTTTTTATGGTTATATGTTCTTTTCTACCAAGAACACTATTCCTGGCTCTGTGGCTTCAGGCCATTCCCTATTCTCTTGTCTCCTATTTATACGTAACCTCCATACTGACCACTTTCCCACAGGTACTCCGTCTTCTGTCCTTCCTGAGTTCCTTGTGTGCATTGACCTTGAGGAATTACTATATTTGTTTCTCTGTTATTTTGCCTCTGTCTTCCCAAATGTGGGTGCCATTACCAGGCAGGATCATTACTGCTCCCAGCACCCAGAGAATGGCCCGAGTCACTTAGCTGCCTGTGTCATAGATCCAGACAGAATACACAGAAACAAAGCCTTACATGCAAGCGTTGATTTGACTTTCAACTCGGCTTGCCAGGCCCGCTTCATCCTGGTCAGTGGTACTGTCCCTGCTTCCTCTACCCCTGACCCCTGACCCCTGACCCCTGACCCCTACCTTCTCTTGCACAGATACATAAGGCTTGCTCTGGAGGCAACACTGGGCAACCCCTGCAGGTGGAATGTGTAGCCCGGCTCTATTCTTGTCAGCATCATGTGGAAGAACATTGGAACATGCTCTGCTGAGCACACACAGGGATCTTCTGGAGCCCAGCTCTTGCACCCTGACTTACTGTTCCCTCTTGTTAGGTGTCTACAGGGGCATCCCTGGTGGCATCAGCAGTTTAGGTCTGCAGATAGTCAGCTGCTCCCGTTGCTGTGTTCAGAGGGAGCTTGTTTTATTTTATATGGGTATCTTGTTTTATTCCTTTTTTGTTTGTACCTGTGGACTGCAGGAAAATGTGGGTCCAAGAGTTTGTTCTGTTGCTGTGATATTTCTGTGTTTTGTTTTTATCTGATATTGCTTCTAAGTGTCATCAGAGGCAGCGTGCCTCCACCACATGGTTCAGTCCTGCTGTCCCAAGGTGGGACTGGTACCAGAGCTTACTCTGTAGCCACCCAGGCAGATGGGGTGTCTAGGCTCCAGGTCCTGTTGTCTTAGGATTCCTTGTAACCATTTGGGCCTCACTGTTTAGTTCATGAGGGAGGGGGCCCTTGGTGAGCTGCGCAGCCCACAGATTCAATCCAGTCTTTTTAATACTCAGGCAAGGGCTGTGCACATTTGCTCAGTGCTTATTTCTCAGCAGGATAAGAACCCTGGAAAGAGCTCTGACTCTTTAATTCCGGAGCAGAAATCTGAGGGCTGGGGCCAGACCAGCCTTGTCTGGACAAGGCGTGCTTTCCCCTAATGAGTCAGATAAAGCTTGCAGACTTTGTTGGGAGGATAGAAAGATCCTTGGGCTGCTGGACTTGTTTACAAGGCATGAGCTCAGGAATGGCTGGTATAGCCTGATGGGTCGCTCCTCTCCTTGCCATGTAGCCACTCTCCTTCCTGAACCATCTGACAAAATGCTTCCTGTTAAGAACTCCCTGTGAGTGGAGACCTTTCGGCTATGCACAACACTGTAACGCCTTGGCCACGCTCTGTGACACCTTGTGATGCATGATTAAAGCAACTCGGAGTAGATTCAATTTCTGGAGTTAGTATTTTTCTGTTGAAAGTAATTAAGAATGAAGGCTGGGCTGGGAAGATAGGTCAGTGGTCTAAGCGCCTGCCTGGCAAGCGCAGGGATTGGGTTCCATCCCTGCAAATGCATGCCATCCTGGCCCCGCCCCGGGTGCGCTAAGCCAACCACCCAAACAGGGCATGGTGGCACAAGCCTGTAATCCCAGTGCAGGGGAGGCTGAAACGGGAGGAATGCTACTAGTCTGAGATGCGTGGTAAGACCCTGTACCAAATGTGTATTTTTTTCTTAAAAAATTAAAGAATAAAGACTGTCTCACAAAAGTTAGTTTAGTACATTTCCTGAGAGGTGAGCATCTCCCCTAAATCTCAGGCTGCTCATTCCCTGGGGACTGTGCTGATCGTAGTGATCCCTCTCCCAAGCCCTTCCCTGGATGCTTCGGAACGGGGTCCTGGTGCTTCTCCAGTTTCTGCTCAATCTGTGTGATGCTCCTTTGCCTGTGCGTGTTTCCCTCCCATCCTGTCCGTGACTGCTTGGGTTAAGACAAATG